TGCATTCAAGGGAGGTGGGGGGTGATCCTTGACAACTTCAATCATTTCTCCATTTACCATGATGTTGCTCCAATTGTGAGGATTTGGGTCTTCTATGAATTGAATTGTAGTCCTTGATCTTCATCAGCAAGTGCTTCAAGTTCTCACTCTAAAAGCATTCATTCATTCAACTGAAAATGGATTCCTAGTGACAAATCTTTCCTATAAGCACGAAACATTGTTAAGGTATGTCTTCTCTTAATAAGTGATTATCCCATTGTTATACTGGGACATACACTATTCTGTGTAACTGAGAGGTGACATCAGGTAAATTTCAATTTATAGTAGCCTGTGTTTAATGGGATGAAACACTGCCCAATCCTGCTCCAGCTTCACAATGTCTGCAGCTATCGTGTCGCTCCATCTGATTGAGTGTCTAACCGACTTGGCAGCACCCAACAGCTACTACTTTACCAAGCACGACAGCCTTCTCTACAACGAGTCCCTTCTAATAACATATCTTAAGGAAATTAGACGAAGTCTCATCAGCTTTGCTTCTAAGGGGAATTCTGTCAGTGTTTCTTTTAGGATACATTTGTTCATTCTAGCAATCCATGATACATTCAATATTTTTCATCAGCACAATAATTTTAAAGCATCGATTCTTCTTCAGTTTTCTCTATTCGTTATCCAACTTTCACATGAATGTACAGCCATTAAAATAGCATGACTTTGGAACAGACTCTTTTAAGTCTTCAAAGTGACACTTTTGTTTTTTAATACTATAAATCAATCTGTTACAGCAGTTGTGTCCAATGAGATAGATAGTTTGATTTCTTCAATGCAGCTTCATTGATCATAGACCCAAGTAAAATGAAATCCCTGGCAACTTCAATCTCCATTTATCATGATGCAGTCTATTAGTTCTTTTGTGAGAATTTTTGTTTTTTCTGTTGAGGTTTAATCTATACTGAAGGCTGTAATCTTTGGTCTACACTGAAGGCTGTAGCCCCTGATCTTCATCAGCAAGGGCTTCAAGTCCTCTTCACTTTCAGCAAGTAAGGCTGCGTCACCTGCATATCGCAACTTGCTAACGAGTATTCTTCTTCATACAGTACAATCTCTTGAATGATGCTCCCGTACAGATTGAAGAAGCACACTGTGAAAGCACACGACCCTGACAGAGCCATTTCCTGATCTGAAACCAAGCAGTATTCCCTTATCTGCTGGAACAGCCGCTTCTTGGTCTAAGTACAGGTGTCACATGAGCACATTTAGTGTTCTGAAGTTCGAATCCTTTGCAATGTTATCTATAATGTGTTATACATAAAACACAAGTGAGATAGTTAAGGTTTATTGTGCCAACCTGGCCGATAAGCACGTGGGATCAATTGAAGGGCGGAATGATAAATTCTTCGGTAAGCCTAGCCTTTCTAGTTCTCAGGTCTCTTGCTTTCTGATGGTTGGACTGGGGTGCAGCTGCCTTAGCTAGTTGCCTGCTTCAGCTGGCTAGGCTGACTTCCTGCAAGACATCCCTGAGGAGAAGCCACATGGACCTATCCCGATGCAGCCCTGGGTGCTGGAGCAGCCGCATGGAGACTCCTGCCAGCGCTGAGATGTTTACACATTCACTGATTTGGCTTTCCTCCTGCAGCTGGCATCATTGCATGCATTTTTGTGAGATTGAGGAGGGCTTTGTAGATTGGTGTTGGATATATGGGCTAATGTTGGACTTATGGGCTTGAGCAGCACTGGGTTGGGATGCTTTCTTAATGAACACTTACCCTTTATATAAAATTCTCTCTCTTATACATATGAGTTTCTGTGGATTTTTTCCCCTAGTTTCCCTAGACTAACACAACAAGTAAATATCTTTCTAGTATTGCCAGCTTTCAGCCAAAATCCATCTGTCATCTGCAATAGTATCCTTTGTTCCACTTCCTCTTCTGGGACCCTAGATTTTCACCTAGGCTTTTAGTGCAGCTTGTACTTCTTTCTTCAATATCATTGATTCCTGAGATGGTTTCACATTAAACAACCCTTTTTGATACAGTGGCTTTGTGCATTCTGTTTTTCTTCCTTTGACGTTGCCTGTGTCCTTCAACATCTTGGCCAAAGAATCCTTCAATGTTCAAGTTACAGGCTTGAGTTTGTTCAGAAGTTCTTTTAGTTATATAAGACGGAACGTGTTCTTCCCACTTGGTCTTCTAATTCCAGTTTCTTTCACATTTCATTACGATATTTTTCTTTATCTTATCATGCTTCCTTCTGAAATCTTCTGTTTGGCTTTTATGTCATTATTTCTTCCATTTTCTTTAGCTATTCTACACTCAAAAGCAAGTTTCAGTGTCCCTGGTAAGAAGCAATATGATAAATAAAAATTAAAATAACAATAAGATACCGCTTCACACTGAGGCTCTTAGTTAAATATTTTTAAAATAGAAAATAATAAATCAGTATGGCACATCCTTAACCAAATGCAAACACAAATACCGATGATCCCGCAATCTCTCTACATGGTATGTACCCTAAAGAAACAAATAACAGCTTACAAATAAGTACAAAGGAAAATCAAATGATACAGTATTGCATTTTAACCTATGTCTGCAATAGTCGACCTTACAATGCTCTCTAATTGATCACGTTAGGGTTGCAGGAAAGAATAGGGAGTGGGGGCGGGAAGCTAAAACCAATGAATTCAAGAAGAAAACGTTCTGAAATTGACTGTGGTGATGTTTTCACACATTGTCTTACTATAATTGAATTATTAAATTGTATGAGGTGTGAAGTTTCTCTCAATAAAAATATAATAATGAAAAGAAATAAAGAATAAAATGTGAACAGATATGTGCACACCTATTTATTGCAGAAATTTTATAATAACAAAAAGATGGAAATAATCAATAACTCTGACTATAAAGGAATGGATAAACACACTATAAAACGTACATGCAATACAAAATCATGCATCATTAAAAAATAATGGCGAGTCTGCTAAACACCTTAAGACATAGACAGAATTAGAGAACATTATGCTTAGCAAAATTAGTCAATTAGTCATAAATATTTTATGACACCATTATTATAAAGAAAAATGGTTTTCACACAAAAGGATAGGAATTTAAAGACTATGAGGAGGCCATGGGCAGGAGTGGAGGCCAAAAGAGGGAAGGGACAGGAAACTATGGAGGGAGGGGTGGTGGATAGAGAGAGGGATAACACAACATATCAGGGGTGTGTGAGGTGTTGTGGGAAACTCTTACTAATTTGATTTGATGAGATTAGCTGTGCAATTACATAGATTATGTTTTTTTGTGTGTCTTAGAGTTCACTAGAGAAACAAAACCAGGACACTTATGATTTTATAGATAGATAGATAGATAGATAGATAGATAGATAGATAGATAGATAGTCCACATGAAGGAATATAACAGCTAATTAGTTCACACAGCAATACAGAGGGCTCAGTTCAACTCGCTTTCATGGAATAGTTAATATACAGGAAGTCCTTCAACTCATGAGGGTTGCTGGGTCCAAGGTCAAAGAAACAGACAGCTGAGTCTTACCTAGAGCAAGGTGGGCAGTCCAGCCACAGGCAGCAAACAGCAGGGTGATAGGTCACCAACAATCAACAGCTCAAGAGCTTGGCAAAGCAGGCCCAGATGGGATATCAAGCTCAAGCAATCAAGACAACAGGATCAGACAGCCTCAAGCTCAAACGATGCATACCAGCAGCATGGCAAAGCAGGTCTCAAAGGAGCCTCAAGCTCTAGTGACAAACAAAACAAACAAAAACTACAATCCCTTGAGGAATAAGATAATCAATGATTGTACAGGCAGGTTCTAGGTCGTAAGTACTGTATTGATTGTTTCAGGCCATGGTTAAGATAAAGTGATCTTCCCGAATATCATTCACTGTTACTTTGATCGCTCCTTTCTGGATCTCACTACAGTTTCCAGCCAGTGTGTTGATTTTGTCTTCCAAGTGCAAACAGAAATCTGAGGTGAGTCAATGCTCACACCAATCATGAACGTGACATAAGAAACCCGAGTTCAAAACAACAAGAACCAGTGCCAAGGGCACACCAGGCTATGAAGATGTGCTGCACACGGGGCACCAGGCCTGGTATCTTCTAGACAAATGCTGAGGCTCTTGATACCACTTAGCATCATGGAGTTAAAGTTAATTCACATCTCATTTCAACACTCCCTTTTCCAGTTAACAAAACGGAAGCCCAGAGAGAGACTAAAGCCCTTCTTAAGACCAAATAAACAGTTCAATTCCTCCGTATTCTCCATGGCCAATCCTGCATTCAACCTACTACATCGAATAGCTAGCTCCCTGGATGGTACATTATCAGTTAAAGTCTCAACTACTAAGTGCAAGGTGGGCGGTTTGAACCCCTGGAGGGACCTCAGAAGAAAAGCCCGGTGATTTGCTTCCCAAAGGTCCCACAGATCAAAACCCTGTAGAGCACAGTTGGACTTTACAACCCGCAGGGTGGCTTGGAATCAAAATCGACTTGCCCTTAGCAGCTTAGGGTTTTCGATGTTATGGTTCTGTTTACTTTCGTGTGCGTGACCTCTCTGTAGTCGGAAGAAATGACTAGCAGTTCGTTGGCCCTGTTTTTTCCAAGATCTCTGAAACAGTATACAAAATGGGATGCCGAAGAGCAGCTCGCTTCTTCCCATTTCCGCGGCTTTCGCCCCATGTGAAAAATCTAAACTCTTAGAATCGCTCCCCAGCAGGAGGGCTAAGAACATGGATAAAAATGGGGAGCTGGGATCTGTATAGGCTCCGATCCTGTAGTTCTCTAACTGTATTTGAAGTCCTGCCCAAAACAGGAACTGTGTGTGAAGCCCCGGGTTAATCATATTCAGTTAGATCAACTCTCACGGTTGGTCATGGCCACAACCAAAGACAAGGCTCAAGTTGCTACTGTTGCTTTTTCAATTGCCCCCCGCTCCCCCTTCCTGAGCTCCAAGCCCAATAAATGACTCCCCTCTTTCCTACTGCTCAGAACCTGAAGCGGGTGGCAGAGACCTGGATGGACGAGTTCGCCGAGTACATTTACCAGCGGCGGCCAGAGTACCGGCACCTCTCCACCGGCGACATCTCCGCGCAGAAGGAGTTGCGCAAGCAGCTCAAGTGCAAGGACTTCAAGTGGTTCATGGCGGCCGTGGCCTGGGACGTGCCCAAGTTCTACCCCCCGGTGGAGCCCCCACCTGCTGCCTGGGGGGAGGTGAGGAAAGGCGCGTGAATCTCGCTGCATGAATTTACTTTGATCTGTCTAGCACCCCGGAGGCGGGTGGGAGGGCCAGCGAACGTCATCCACCCCTGTTCCCTGCCGCTGAGTGACGGTTGTTTCAATCGCCTCAAACCCAGAAAGAAGGTTCTGACTCTTTCTAGAGATTAGTGGGGATGAGGAGTCCACCCGCCGCCTAGAGTGTCCAACCAAGAGTGATGGGCCTCTCTGGCTTTCCCCAAGTAGAGTTTTGACATGCACCTGCAAAAGTATCTGTAGAGGAGATGAGTGAAATTACCACAGGGGCTTATTTCAGGGAGAGAAAAGACCTGTCAAACGACTGTGTGAGTAAAGGTCAGCCAATGTCCAGGATCGCATCCCTGACTCAGCAGGGTCTGGTTTCTGCTCGGACGTTCAAGGACAAGACTCTGGAGGAGCCTGGCTCTCTCCTAGCCATGGTGTACTGTGCAGATACGTTTCCACAAATGCACGGAACTGTGCAGTGTGTGGGAGCCATGGCAGCTCCTTACATTAGCGCCAGCACTTCCACCTCTGAATACCTCTTATCTGATTTTCCTTTATGATCTAAAATGGAAACAGCTGAGTGGCCCCAGACCCCAGATTCAAAATATCTCTTTGGGCATGAAAGGACCACCACGCTGCTTCGGGTCTATTCAATTCTGCTACTGTAGGCTTTTGGCAGCGGAAGAGTGCTCTAAAACAAGGACTAAAAATGGATCAGGGTAGGTTTTTGTTTCCCAGCCATTTAATCTACTTTTAGCAGAGGCGATCAGAGGAAGGCAGGCAGGGTTCAATTGTAGCCCAGGCCAATTCTCCAGTCTTTCAGAGGCTGGCAGCTGACTGCCCTAGATGATGGGAGAGCCTCTTCATCAGCAGCCCTGGAGAATCATGTCCGGTGAGCGTCTGTGACTGAAGAAGCTCTGGACTAGGTTTGCTCACAGCACAGTAGGAGAGGCAGAGTGCTCCTCAGACAGCCTCTTGCTTGAGCTGTCCCCACAGAGAGCGTGTTCAGCCAGTTGTGTGTGCACTGTGCCTTTGGCTTAGAGGGCCCCAAACGGTGCCATTCTCTGCCTGGAGCTGGGACATCAGGCTTCCAGGAGAGAATCCAGACTTTCACAGGATAGTCTGTCCTTCTGTGCTTGTTGTACGAAAGGCCTTCCTAAAGTTCTTAGAAGAATTTCATTATCTTTTCAGTCCATTTTTGCCACAAGCATTTTGAAGCTCCTTCATATGTGTTTCCAACATTGTCTGTGTAAGTCAGCAATATGGTCTCATTCTTGGCATCTGGAACGGTTTATTCGAGATTCTACAGACAATAGTTGCCTGCTTGTACTCGTTGTAGCTGTCTACTGTGAGCTTCAATTACAGCAGTGAAAGTGGAAAGCACGTGCCAGGAAAAGAGAGAGAGAGAAAGAGAGAGAGAGAGAGAGAGAACGTTCTTATTCGAACACACTGTAGAATTTAGGCATTTGTTACCCAACCAGCAGGTGAATTCGGTTCTAAAAACATTTGTATATGGTGACATCATTCATTAATGCAGTGAGTGCACTGCTGCCTTAGTGAGTAGGAAGCATGAAGACCTCAAATAGTATTGTGTGATTCACTATTGAGTTACAATTTCACCCATCTTTTCTCCGTCTTATTTGAAAACTATATGGGTGGTAGGGTTTGGGATTTGGGGTTTTTTTTCCCCTTACATGGTTAATACTTTGCACTGCAGGAGTCACAGTATTTTTCACCTTGCTTGACTAAACTATACTTTTATTTATACAGTACCTTGCTTCCCCTGAGGTTGTAGCAAAGACACAAACTACTAGGAACAACCACAGTAGGGCTCGTGATAAGACCAGGGTGGCTATGATCGTGGGCTCTTGCCCATCACTCTTGACTGCCTCACACCTTATATTCTTGACCTGGCCGCAGGAGGCATTGCCACTCGGAATTTCCAGTGGAAACAATCAGACATTAAGAAAATCTGGGTTTTTTGTGTGTGTTTGTTTATTAGTTTTTTAATGAAATATCACTTTTTTTCCCCAATACTCCACAGAAGATTGCATTTTTAAGTCTAGAAGAGGAGAACAAGGGGATATAGTTGGAGGACCTGTGTTAGAGCAAGTAGACTAGAGAAATGAATCCAGAGATACTCACATGTGTATAAGAAAGAGCTTTATATCAAAGAGTAATTATTTATTAAGAAAACATTCCAGCCCAGTCTAGATCAATTCCGTAAGTCTGATATTAGTCCGTAAGTCTGATACTAGTTCATAAATTCCTCCTCAGACTCATGTAACACATGCAATGATGCAAAATTCAGGAAGATCACAGGCCAATGGGTGCAAAGTCTTGTGGCTCCAGTGGCATGGGAGCCTCTCCAGGGCTCTGGTAGGTCTCAGTGTGGCTCCATGTGGCATGCCAAAAGGAGAGAGAAAGCCGAGAGAGTGTGTTGCCTATCTCCAGGGAGGAAAAGAAAGAGTCCGGCCTCGGAAAGTCATTTATCTTAGTCACCCTCCAATCAAGCTGCAACCTGGTAGACAAGGTAAACTCTCTGCCCACATGTTCCTACGGGAGCCATGTTGGCACAGAAAACCTGTCACAGGACTAGTGGCATCTCACTCGTAATGAGGGTGTGTTGTACAGCAAGCATGAAGACAAGTTCAAAGATCAGAAGGAAGCAAACAAAGAGAAAAGTGACCGGTAAGTGACAAGGGTTTAGATTGAAATAGCCATTACCCAGACAGAGTCTCTGAAAGTACGGAGACTCAAGTCTACCCAGAGGCACTCAGAAGAAAAGGCCAGGCAATATACTTCTGGGAAACCAGACATTGAAAACCCTGTGGAACAAACTGCTCCTCTAAAACATGGATCAGAGTTGTCGTGTGTGTGTGTGTGTGTGTGTGTGTGTGTGTGTGTGTGTGTGTTTCTCCTCCAGCCAGAGAAAAAAGTGAGCCATGGGCATTGATGCAGGTGACAGTGAAGGATCTGAAATAACGAAAAGGAGAAACCATTTACCTACAGTTTATTGTGTAATAATATAATCTAGTGTTTTCTACCAAACAAAGAAACAAACACGCTCACTGCCATTGGGTCCATGCTGACTCATAGCGACCCCCCCCCAGGACAGGGTAGAGTTTCCCCTGTAAGTTTCAGAGACTGTAATGCTTTAAGAGAGTAGAGAGCCCCTTTTTTCTCCCAAGGAGCAGCTGCAGGTTTTGAATTGCTGACCTTGTGGGTTGAGCAGCCCAGTGAGTAACCACTAGCCAATACTAAGAGTGACAAATACATGTGTGAGCCAATTGGGTCTGGTGGGGAAGCGGGAAGGAGTTTGCTGAAAGGAGTTTTTATACCGTGTATTTTCCCCCTTTGATAAGGCTATTTTAAATACATTTTTAATATTATTTTAGAATAATCTTAAGTTCACAGAAAGTTGCTCAGATAGTACATAAAATCCACATCAACCCTTCACTGGGTTTCTTCTAATGCTATCATCTTGTATAACCATGATATATTGATCAAAACTAAGAAGTGAATCGTAGTAAAATACCATTGATGAAACTGCAGAATTTTTGCAAATCCCAGCATTTTTATCCCCACAAATGTCCCTTTTCTTTTCCTGGATCCAACCCAATTCATGGAAGGACTTTTCAATTTGCTCTAAACGTTAAATGAGTAAAACCTCTGAAGAAATGCAATAAGTCGGTGGCTGTTTAAGCAAGAAAGTGAAACGGTGAATGTAGACTGGTGGTTCTTTTAAAGCGGTTGAAAGAAGGAACCACAAGCCTCCTGCAACAAAAACACCAGAACCCCCTACGGGAGATCTGGGCCAAGCAGGAGAGGTGCTCACCGTTTTATAAGCTCATACTTGGAACTGTTTTCCACCTGCTTCTCCGAGCCAACTTGGTTCTGGGTAAACAATGAAGCTCTGAGGCATGTTTGGGCTCTGGTAGTTGGAATGCAGATGAGTCAAAGATAGAAAACGCCTATAAACTGCTACTCTTTGCCCTGGCACATGAAGTTGGATGATTGCCCTTCTCTCCTAAGAGGTCTCGCTGTTTTACCCCTCTACTTTATTATCTCAGCCAACCCACACCGCCTCAAAAAAATGCCACCAAGTCTATTCTGATGCATGGCAACCCATGGCTGCAGTAGAACTACTCACCACAGGCCACTTAAAGTGGGAGCCCAAGTCAACGCCTCTGATAGAAAATCTCCAATAGCTACCATCTCTTTCAAGATAAAAGTCAATATCTTTAAGATCCTCATTGATCTGCCCTCCTCCAGCCTCACTTGTCCCTGGTTTCTTTCTCTAGGCACACTAGCCCTGCCATGTGGCCAACACAATTCCGCCCCTCCCTCTGGACATTTGCACTTGCCTTCCTGCCGCTTAAAACCCTCCAACCCAGAAATCCTTGTAGCCTCTCTACCTTTGTCTTACTCAAAAAATACAAATGAAAACCTCTTAGGAAGGCCTCACTAGTCATCCTATTCAAAATTGCAATCATTGAGAACGCAAGCATGCTTACACACCCCCAAACCCCTTTCCCGCCTTCCTTTTTCTCCTTAGCATCTCTCTTTATTTTAAAAGATGTATTATTTATTTTTCTGTTTCTCTCTCCCCAACTAAAAAGGAAATAGTCGAAACACAAGGATTGTTGGCTTACTGTGTTACTACTGACTGTTCCTCAGCAGCTAAGACTGGGGTCTGGCATAGAGGGTATGCTCGACAAACATATACTGGATGAGTAAAATGGGAATGCATAGAGGATCCTGAGCCCTGTTGTTTCTGTTGCTGTGCCTCTTTCCTGTGTTTCACTGGGCTCCCCAGAGCACCCCGAGCATTGCTTGCACTTCTCCGCTCAAAGAGGAGTCCCAAGACCTCTCCCTCGGTGGCCACCCAAATGACTTCCTTGGCAAACTGGGCCAGGAGGAAAACTTGAGAAGTGAATCGCAGATAGTACTCTCTTATACTATCTAGAACT